TGAGAGTCCCACTTTATGCTACACACCTTTAAGATTTTCAATGCGAAAGAGACTACATTGCTTTATTAGGTATTGTCATCAAAGCAAGATTGCTTTGTTGGCTTATTTCTGCATACCAGGTAGCGAACCGAGACATGAACATTGCTAGAAAATGACATAGACTGAAAATTTCCAAAACATATTTATCTGCTTCTATATGCGTTCTTGAACTTGGGCGCTGACATTTGTACTCGTACATATAACATTACAGCCGGCTTTGTAAGGTTCCTGCCACGCATGTGCACAGCGCGCTCGACTAACTTTGAAAATCACACGGATGAAATTTCACACCCTTATGTCCAGGACTCCTTACATGCTCAATCAAAAAAATTTACATGGTTTTTGCACAGTGTACGTAATTTACTTTTTCGCGTGCAAAGTCAATGCCTTTTGCGTCTTTTATGATGTAGGGTTGCCATGTTTTGTTTGGCATTTTCTATGATACATCCTAATTGTCAAAAGATTGGTTTAGTTATTTCTTTAGTGACACCTTCATACTGGTGAGAGTTCGTTGCGTTCTCAGACGGAAACCCCCAGGAAAGCCTCACATTAGATTTCACTGGTGCTTCCTATGGCGCACGTAATATGTCACGAGTCATTTCTTTGCTAAAAAAAACTTGTAATGCCTTAGCTTATAGAGTGAACAAATATTGCCCCATAATGTGAATAGAAACAGAATTATAATAACATCTCCCTAAAACAGTCCCTAGTCTATTTAACCGTCAGTGACTACCGAATAGTAACAATGATTTTCAATCCCATAGGATTGCAATATAAATTTCCAATATAATGCTTCACAAAATGTAACGCAGATAACGCAATGTAATACACCAACATATGATTTGTATTATGTCAGAAAATCCAGGCAAATCCAACCGAATCGGCCAGTTTCCGGAGAGTGAAAAGATCATGGACAAAATAATTTGTCCATGAATGGAGGCATGATCTTCTTAATATTCATGATATGAGTTATGCTGGCGTGAATCAATGACATACCCGGTGTAAACATAGTACGGACTACCTCCGAGGTACGAACGGGCTACGTTCTACGTGAGATGACTTGATCTTTAGTCCAACACAAGTACGCTTCAATATACAATTACGGTAGTACCAGTATTCTACAGGTTTCGGACAATTTTTTTTACGTTCGTTCTTGGAATGCAGTGATAAAAATGACAGCCTCGCTGCTGCTGCAAATTGCCGCAAGAGACGAGCTCGCGGATCAGCATTTTACGTGCCATTGACAACTTTACGGCCCATATACAACTTTCACACAACACTGTTCGTATCTTCGAAATTCAGTGAGTGGAGGGTTTTTTGTTTCGGAGTCGACCTGAACTCCACCTGTACATACATGATGGAAGCAGCGAATCAAAATTCAGATTTTGGCGGGTAACAAGCCAGATTGTTAGGGGAATCAAGAGTGAACATAACACTTTCCACTTGAAGATAGGCCTTCGTTCGAACCGAGCGTTTATTCGGTTACACATAGGGGAGGCCGGGGCTAGTTGGACCCCGGGGTAAGTTGGCCCAGCATCAAGTCTCTTTAATAAAGTTACTTTAAGACCCCATTCCCAGAAAATAGATCGGTCCAAACTAGATCGACCTAACTCCCTGGGGGTTCACGCTAAATAGCTGTCAGCCGAGCGGGCACGAAAGTTAATTCCCCCCTTACAGCTTGTAGTAGGCGGGACGGACATTTAAGCCGGATTATCTGACAGTAATCTAGTGAGACTCCCCACGCGGATAGATCGATTTAAAATCTATGGGAATACGCCCTAAGATTCTAAATATTTCATTTTGACTCACTGCCGACGCTTTCTTAGCACTATTGGATACGGGCACTTTACAAAATGATGTTTTACCCCATAGTTACTTTGTAATAAATTGATGGGGGGCCAACTTACCCCGGGGTCCAACTAGCCCCGGTCTCCCCTATAAACCACTTCTACTAGTTTTTTTACGACTTAGTTAAAGTCTACATGCAAAAAGATCAACAAAATGAAAACCACTGGGTCAACCGAAAAATAGTCATGAACCTTAAAATTTCTGTTCGGAAACAGTTATTTCATGTGTCCCTCCAGATCGCAAAAAGACGCCAAATGACGTAGTAGGCCTACTTAATGTATAGCGCATTACTGCTACGCGCGCAATGTCGCATAAATATTCAAATAAGACTTGATGGAAACTACCTATATAGTACAGAAAAAAAGCAGAAAAACCATCTTTCCAAATATCGTTTTTTGGAAAGTATGAGACGACGCACTTCGGTTTTCTTTAAGTTATGCTATTTGAAACTATGTGATGGCATTTGGTGGGGTAAAGTGGCAAAGATTTCACTTCATGTGTAACTTTAATATTTGCAAGTGAATAGGCATTTGATATCATGATCATCATCACCATATAGCCAAAGTGAAGAAAAAATAGGCCAATGGCAACATTTCTCCACATCATCGGGTTTTCAGGCAGTCCTGCCAGGCCATGTCACCTATATATCCCTAAAGGTTCCTTTCCAACCCATTTTTTCTTTTCAAAGATCTTAGATGCAGATATTTAGTACATGTAACTGCTGTTTGTTAGGGCCCACAGCCACGATTATATCTACTGCTTATGATGACTGATTTATTCAGTAAAACTTCAATCTTTAGAAATTTGCCTTACTTTTAGAAAAAAGATATTGAAGGCAACAAGAAAAAATTTCCTCATAATACCCTCTATTGGGACTCTTCTTTCTTTTGATTACAAGGAAAAATGTGTAAACTATCACAAAAGCAAATTGTTTAAATTTTAATGTAAGTCCGACAGATATTTAAAATGTACTGAGCATGATATTTGTTAATGCTATGATCGACACCAGTTTGATGAATAAAGTGCTACTGACTGCATGAAAACCGTTTTTGACAGTAAAACAAACTTGGATATAACATAATTTTGTGGGTAGAAATGATACCATTGAACCTGTAAAAACACGTTCACTGCTTACTTGACCGGGTTCAATTAATCCTAATCAAAAACTCACTTTTGACAGTCACAATGGCGCCAGATAAATCTGGGGCAGTGGACGCTTGATCTCTTTCCTACAATGTTTATTTGAGATTGTTTGCTCGTGTTAACATCACCGTTTGACAAAATGACTTGGTTTGTCAGCTTGTTTTCTTAACTATTACAAAAGCCATTTAAAGGTAAATGTCAGCAAGGATAAAATTACTTTTTTGACAGAATATTACGGGCAAATGTTTTCTCGTTTTTGCTAGCATTCAAACTTTTGATTACACTGAAACCTTAGAGCAATCCGGAAGAGTCACTATGGTATATATATTCTTCTCAATGGTGCAGTGAATATCGATATTAGGCTACCATTGAGCAAAAATGCCTCTTTTTCGGAACGATGGCGCTCTCAATAACACACGAAACAGAGCATATATTAAAGTGGCCTGGTTTTATTTAATGTGAGTCTCTCGTTGAGAATATACTCTGACGTTTTTGTTTCTTGTTGGGCTTCTGGTCAACTGATAGCACAGTTCAGACATGTTTTTGGACAAGACTGGAAAGGGGCTAAAATGCACCATTGAAAAAGTCTTGTTTATTCATCCATAGATCCCAACACCCTCTATATAAGGCATAGATTGGTCTTTCAGTACATATATACAGATATGTCTAATTCTATTCACTTTTCTGTACTATGAAAAATTATGTTTACAGTTGTCATCACGAAGCTGGTTTCTATAGTATAGAGTAGGATCTTAATGTCTAGGACAAGTTGGAGAATATCTGTGCAAAGCTACCTTCTGATATCAGGGGCTTCTAAAAAAAGTCAGCGATTAAATAATTTTGTAACAGACTGCGGGTGCACCCTGTAGATAGACAGTAGTGCAAAGCCTGGATTACAAAGACAGGCCATCTAGACCGTATGACAGTTGTTTTGTTATTGCTGACCAGTGTTCCGGTGCGCACGTTCGCCGTGAACTTATAGTCTATTAAGTAACATAAACATAACATAAAGCTTGTATAAAAACGGATAACGACCAAATAACACCCTTTCAGACCAGAATATTTGCCCATGAAATCTGAATTGTCTTTCTTTAACTCTACAAACGTTTTATCTTCGATGGCCATTATTTAATGACGTACTTGAATTATGGTGTGACTAAAAAAAGAGCATAAAGGAAAAAAGAGTCCCTCAACAGAAACAGAAGCAGGGTAAAGCAGGGTCCCAGATGAGGGGAAATACAAAAATACAGAATATGAAGTATAAGAAGGTGAAAATACGAAGCTAAATTTGGCTGATTGGCAATCGTTATTTTGATCACTTTTAAAGCCACTGGAAAATTTCACAAAATAAGAGTTTAAGGAAGTCAAGGGCTTTTATAATTATTATTAATTACCACTTGATAACTTGATAAAATTAATTACTGGCAACCTAGATACTGGTATGCTTACTGTCATTATAAAATCGTCAAGTCTTAAACACTGCCTGAATTAATCAATCGCAAGCTTTTCAAATTTCGGATAAAGTGATCACTGACCTACATAATTTGATTTTTTTTCAACTAAATGATGAGTTCAGTGGCTAATTCGTAAGGATGAATCTTTTGCCATTCAAAGCCGTGAATAGCTATCACAGCTTTCGTTGTTGGGTGGCCATACCGCTGACCCTGTGAATATCAAACGTGTCACACCGGATGAATGCCTGTATATTCAAGCACTTAAAATGAACATATTTTCCTCCATACAACAGTAAAACTTATTTATTTGCACCCCGGTATTTCAGTTAAGTTATCGTTTGAAGAAAGTGTTTGTGTAACTTTGAATGCATATCACAAAAGATAGAATGATTTGCTGTGAACATCTTCCCAAACTTTCTTTTCAGAAAGTCATCTTTGATTTTACTCTCGGAGCCATAGAGATCTGGCTTGAGTCAAACGTTGTTTTGCATTCAGAGCACGCTAAACTTCGCATTAATGGGATGCTGTGGATCCGTATTAAAAATATCATAATATAGACCAGTCTTGTAGTCAGCCTTTCCATAGGTTTTTTTATATACAAAGGAAGACATTTTTGCACATTTCATTGGCTAAACTTGAAAAATGGCATGGACCTAAATAGATATATTTTGATTAAGAGAGGACCTTTTCCAACCGAACGGTTCATTACGAACACCCGGTCCTACTCCCCGAGCTCCCTTATCTGTGGGCCTGTAGCTTTCAGTGTGTGTGTGTGTGTGTGTGTGTGTGTGTGTGTCTGTCACTCTGTGTGTCCAAAAATATCAAAGAATCCGATAACCACAACCAGACACTAATATGAACCCCCTTCCCTTACGAGAAAATTATAAACAAACAAAAAAAAAATTGCGGCTGTTACAAATCTTCAAGTTTGCCATTCACCTTTAGCTACTTGGGAAATTTTGGAATATGCAACAGTTGCCAAATAAACACATCAAAACCTATTAACTATAAGCCACTGCGGAGACAGTATCTTATATGACATGCTCTCACTGCGGTTAAAAAAGATCCATCATTTGTCCAAATAGGGAGCATTTCAAAATTGCGCTCATTTCTTCGAAAACCTCACAGAAAACAACACCAAACAACAGCACAGAAGTGTCTTCAGCGTCCACATTCGCTTGAATTCCCTGAGCCTGTCAAAAAAGGTCCCATAATCACGCAAACATTGGAAGTCTCCATCCTACACCCCTTTAGGCTTCCTCCTTTCACATTAATCATCCAAGCATTCAGCCGACGAGAACTGTGAGCTAATAACATCGCGAGCTAATCCGCTATCATCAGGCCAGCCTATGTGGACTGACGGCGCATCTCTCAGAGTGCCTCGTATCTTTCTGGGATTCTCCGAGGTATCAGGTGGTCGTCGACCCGTCAAAAGTACACCCGTTCTATGAGGAAAACTCTTTTTGTTGGAGAACTGGTTTATTAACTGCATCAGTTATCATAGCACTGGGAAGACTGGTTTTACGAGTTTGTGAAGCTATTCTACATATTGTTGAGCTATGACAACGGCGCAGAGTGACTGTGGAGTTGTCAATGAAAGGTATGTAAAATCAAGTCTTATTCTTTATCAGATTGGTAACAAATAGGAATACTGTAGCAACGCAACTCTTGTATTTCCACGGGGGAAGGCAACGATCTCGATGTAATATTAGGCCGTAGCTTTGGTTCGCATGAATGGAGCTATACCCTACAAACGAGTGACAGAGCATAAAGGTATGTATTTACCTTAACTTTTTCTCTACCGGTTGAGTGTACATTAGTGCATACCTACTCTTTTGTCCAGTGCATTTTATGAAAGCAATGTCATTGTCGCTGTTTTCTTAGACATTGTCACTGTCCCCTATAATCACTGACCCCGTATGAACTTAGCTGTGTGTTTCTCTAGATAGGTCGGATGACAAGTTGTAAGTATGAATGGGCATTGTTTACAACAGTAGCAGTTAAGGGGTTCCAGACGAGATGATCTACTGCCTGCAATATACTACTATCTCTATCACAGGCAACTGACACCGATTCAAAAAACTGCTGTCAGCGTTTTGAAGCAAGGAGTGCATTGCCATTATGCTAAATAGCTAAAGGCATTCGGTTATGGATGTACACACGGTGTTGGTTTATTTAAACTAGTCAACTACGCATACATACACTTCAAATTTCGCCCCCGTCATCGTGTTACACCGGTCTGCATAACGGACAAATAGGTGACAGTAGACCATGCAGACACAGTCACGTCTCACCGCATTTTGGATGGCGGTATGCTATCCTTTCGGTTAATTTCGTGTGGGATGCTAGTTGCAGATAAAAAATATTGAAAACAATATTATTGTGAGATTATACAGAGCATCACTTCCAACACTGAAGTGTGACGATTTAGGTGTCAATGTTCTTCATGCTGTCATCACGTTGTTTCCATATATGGGACTTGTCTCTATGTTTTGATCATTTCCTGTATTGTATATGATAATAAATCAATAACTACCTACTACTAACTTCGAATTTTTAAAAATTGATACATATTCCTCAAATCATAGAACAGTATCACTGGATAATACTGCAAAAGAAAAAAGCCAGATTAATATTGGTTAGATTTAGGAGTTGAATCCAAAGTCAAGCGAGGTTGTCATGGCATGCACAGTGATGTAGCCTTGTTGTAGCAAGTGATAATATGCTGCGGTTGACGGATGTTCACTTCTTATGCTGATGAATGGGGGATGCATGGGCAGGCCCAAAAAGGTGACTCTCGTTATCCATTAATTGCCATTGGGTGGCGGTTACCGTGTTGACCTGGAATTCAACTGTTGCACATTTGGAGAGAGGAAATACGGCAGAATAATGTGATTTTATTCACGCAGAGATGCCAGCAGACTACCCATTTGAAATAACATGGTGTCCTAACATAAACAGATATATTTAACGGGTACTGGACTGTTCTGTCTGAAGTCAGGCTTATTATGCAGTCTCCAGCTCAGCAACAGTCCACCTACACAAGGACACTTCTCAAGTACTTACGAGCGTAGCTGGCAATTCTCTGACAACTATACAAGCTGTACGGGTAGCTTTTTGAACTTGTTGATATAGTTTTAGTTTTTAGTGACATTTTAGATATACTGTTAGTGATATATATTTTGGCCAAAATATACACTGTATGTTTATGATGGGGGAAGAAGTATAATAAAGAACTGGCGGAATAAAAAGCAGGGAGGGGGATCTAAAGTGATTGAACTTAATCATTTTTTGTTTTGAAACTTCAGACACATTTTATTGTTGCTTCTCACTCGGATCCTTTCAGATAGGGCACGGTGCTAGGACAATGTACCATTGTTAGCGGACCCGTCCATTATAGCCATTATTCGATACTCCATTAGGCCTACTTTTGGTGGATTTAACCTAGCACAAGGGATATTTAACATTGTGAATCATAAACTTCGACACTGATTTGAAGGGGGTTCAAATTATCATTACATAATTCTCCGCCCCCAAGGACACATTGCAGACACTCTTTCGAAAAAGTGGAGCCACTTCAGACGTTTAATACTCAAATTGCGTGAAATCTCGCTGTTTTTCGGAGATTTTACGATCTGCTTTATATCGTTTTATAACCTCTGCCAAATGCAAGTTTTGAACTATGTAGGCGTTATTCAACAAAACCTCTCATCTTCTGCTACCTAAACGTTTTTTATTCATCTATTATGCAATAAGATAAGATAAAAGAATTTTCTCTATGGTTTTGTTTTGTACTTAAATGATACAGAAAGGTGTTCGATTACTTTGCTGGAATGAACATCTCATAATTACCTTTACCTCGGCTGGTATTTAACAGTACACAGAGCTTTGAAAGTATTTCTTTGGAAAAAGGTATAATTGAAGGGCAAGGATACCTTCACATTTCTTCAATAGAACTCAATAAGATAATCTTCTAAGAGACTAAAGAGTAGAGACACGATTCATCTCTCTAGTACATGTAAACAGGATGCAGAAGCCACTCTTAAATTGTATTTTTGAGAATTACCCTCTCCCAAATGATATTTCCTACACGTATCTTGTACAAGATACCTTCAAGATGACAAACTGATGCGACGAGGTCGCTACTGATGATCAACAAGTGCACTCGTTAATTGTTTTAATTGTTGTGTCGTATTAACCTTTGCCTAGCGGCTGTTCTGGTTACATTTTCTCATCGTATTAAAATGTCGGTACCGTACACCAGTCGACTCTCACTCCACTCGGTTACATATCAGGCCAAGCACACATCATTCCACATTCTAGATTGTCAACGATTCCGTATAATAGGCCCAAGGTTGCATCAAGTGAAGTCAGGCAAAACGATTCAAAATTGAAAGACGTGTTTGTTGGGATCAGGATGGTTTGACCATTCACCTATTATTTGAGCACCCATACTTTGAGCACCCATACTTTGACCACACATATTTCAATTACAGGGCGGTGATGTGACCGGCATACTGTGCCCAGAGAGCACGGTGACCTCTGGCAGAAAACCAGTGATCTCCACCAAGGATCCAATTTCCTAGTATACGTATATATGTACATCAGTATTGCCGATATTGTCACCGCGGATCAAAGCAAAATGACGTCTCTGCTCAATCGTTTCAACGAGCAATGAATTTCGAGAGAAATAGGATTCAATTACAAAAATACTTCATCCAGTAAGATCATGTAGTGTGAACAGGATTGATCTCAATATTTATGCCAATGTTCCAATCCCTGTTAAAACTGACACATATAGATATGTTAAAATATTAAATACCCCCCCCCCCCCCAAAAAAAATACGATTTAATTCACGAAGCTGTATCATTGTAAAGTAATGCACAATTCACTACCAACTATTTAACTTGTCCGTCACTCTGTATTGCGATGTGATTCACATTTTGTATGACGGATTGTCACATAAGGCACAATTTACTTCTGATATGCGTGACCTATAACTCAATCTTTATGCTAATAATTTTTATATTGTGTCTGTTAAGTTTTGTAATACATGGATATCATGTCGAGCGGCGACCTGTGTGCACTTAAATATCCAACTTGTCGTGCACGTAACTAAATGAATGCATATCCTTTGGTGTTATCAAATACAAAGATAGTATCTCAAAAAGACGTTTTAACAGATTAAGATGAGCCTGGATGAAATTCCCAAATGACGCCGGGACTGTGTACGCCCTGAATGAAAATGAACTTTATGAAAGTTGTTATTAGGACCAGTATTTTCTATATAGCCAGGTTAAGTGGTGTACCCGGTGCCCTGATTTTGTGATCACAGTTTTATCTCCCTCGGAACTCATTTGGAAAGATTGACGATGTCTGATACCTCAAATTGAAACTTCAAGTATAACTGAATACTAAGTAGATTGGTGACACTGTACTGTATAGTGATGTGAAATTGGTAATGTTGCTGTAGCACGCAGCATGATGGGCGTTCAATGTAATAAAGTTCGTGGCAGAGACATTATTCTTGCTGTTTCTATAACTCTTTTGTTGTCACTTGTGAAATTAAGAAAACAGTGACACTCTGTTGCGCCTTTCTTCATAATCGGGGGCCAATTTGAAAAATAACTTAGGGTCGAATGTTGGCCTTTACTTTAAAAACGAGTATTTTTTCACTTCTATTAAGGATAACAGTCCACTAAGGGACTATTCCCAGACACTACCGTACTAACTGTGGATCAATCTATCTCCTAGGGGATTCTCGCAAAATTGCAATAAACTAAAGCGGCTTAGACGCTGCTAGGGGGTAATTAACTATCGTTTAGCAACTTCAGTAGGCGTGCCAGACATCTAAGCCGCTTAAACCGAAAGCAATTTAGCGAGAAACCCCTCGGAGATAGATCGATCCTATTAGATCGATCTAGGTATGGGAACCCAGTCTAAAACAAAGCAGCTATTGCATGGTCTAACACTTCTCTCTCTCTTTTAAACTGAAACAATGTTTCAATAGGAATCCCCTTATATTTATCTTGACAAAAAAAGGGAAGTCCAACTTTCGACCTAAAAGTTCTTTTGAGACACTGTCCCCAGAGTCCATGACACTTACTAGATATTAGTTAAAAAGTGTCTACGTGATGTGTTACGGCCCTCACAGAAAAAGTATTAACCACTGTCCGACATTCTAGTACACTTCCTGGAGGAAAAATGCATCTTTAATGTATGGACTGACAGAACTCAAAATAAGACACTCCGGCATTAATGAAATGCATTGAAGAATTTTATTCCGAATAAGATAAAGATGTTATAGCTATGTTTAACAGTTTTGATCGACAGAACTCAGTACAACTCGTCCTCAATAGGCTCTCTGATTACATTCATACATAAATTTTAAAACATTAAATCACTATTTTTTATGAAGCAGAAATTCGATACGTATATCTAGTGTGCAAGTTCACCAGAGATCAATGTAACTGTTAACGACCTGGGCGGGACTGGACTAAGGAAGGAGTAGGAGGAAAGCGGCTCGTAACCTACGGGGATGGAATCGAGGTCAATTTAGATGACGTAATCGTGTTGGGAGATCACTTGTAGAGGAATTA